GGGGCCTACAAGAAAGCTGGAGAGGGACTTTTTACAAGGGCATGTAGCAACAGGACAAGGGGTAGTGGCTTTAAACTGAAAGAGGGTGGGTTTAGATTAGATGTAAGGAAGAAATTCTTCACTATGAGGGTGGTGAGGCACTGGAACAGGTTGCCCAGCGAAGCTGTGGATGCCCCATCCCTGGAAGTGTTCAAGGCCATGTTGGATGGGGCTTTGAGCAACCTGGTATAGTGGAAGATGTCCCTGCCCATGGCAGGGGGGTTGGAACTAGATGATCTTTAAAGGTCCCTTCCAACCCAAACTATTCTATGATTCTATGTTTCTATGATAACAAATTACTTGGCTTTATTTCATGATTCAGAAAGTATATGTGTATTTTTGCTAGTATATTTTCTACCTAATTTGATCAGATATGATGTTATTAAAAAGAGGAAATCAAAGTAAACATGCTAAGTAATTGTAGTTTTTTTCCATTCTCAAAATTGAAAGAATATGTAAATTAGAAGATACACTGCTTCATATAATGTGTGTCATTAGCAGCTGAACAGGGCCCCGTTCTAAATGAAATTGTGGCAAGAAGTTATGGGAAAATACTATACTTACTAAGTCTGAAAAATTTTTGTGAGTTTTTGTGTGTGTGTATGTGTTGAGATATCTACGTGCCTAGAAAATGGGATTCAGGTAGCTTCTTTTATATATAAACATGAAATTTAATGAATGTGCTCTTTATAGAACAAGTATTAAAACAGTATTTGGCTTCTATAAGCTTTTCTGTTGGGAATAGACATGGTTCACAGAGAAGAGGGAACTGAATCAAACTTTCATCTTGATTTTAGCAAAAAACAACCCTTTTGTTCAGGTTCAAAACAGCTGAGCTATATTACTCCATTGCTGCTTTTGTCATTGCTACTACCATGAGATTCAGCAACTATGGATACACAGGCAAACGTCTTCCAGTAACTAAAGCTATGTTTAGTTGGTATTAGATTAATTGAAACAAAATTTAGTAATGTGCCTTTGATTTGACAACACAGCACAGTTAATGATCTTTCCTGAAAGGGTAGCTCTCTATTTTTATTTATTTATTTATTTTAGCAATTAGTTTGCTTTTACAGTGGAATTTGTGAAAATAGTGTTTTTACTTCATGGCTTTCATGAGTAATGTTTTCATAGTGTTAGATGGTGAAAACTGACTAGACCAGAGAGCTGATTTTCAAAAACTTTTCTTTCTAAAGCAGAATTTTAAAACTTTTTATACAATGGAGAAACTGAATAACGTATTGGGTTCATTGCCATGTTCCAGAAGTTGGATGGTGGTAGTTTTCTTCTCTAAGATTTTGCTTGTGTTTCAGAGGAAAGCATAGTTTCTGCTGTCAGTGCAAAATTAAAGTCAAATTCATAAATGGCATCAAAAAGAGAAAAAAAATCTGAAGTATAAATAATATAACAAAGTTGCCTACCTCTTGATGTAAAGTTAATGTGTGCAGTATGTTTTCTCTTGTGAAAGCATGTCTGGAGAAGAATTTGAGCACTGGTAAAAGTTTTTAGACGATGCTTCTCTTTATAATCATGTGATAAAATTAAAAAAAAAAAAAAGCCTAACATCCTATTTCTTATTTTTACAGCATTGTCAATTCAGCCTAACGATGCCTTGATGTATAAATTTAGAGCTGATATTCGTGGTAAATTGGGTTTCAATAAAGAGGCTGTAGAAGACTACAAACAAGCAATCAGCATTCAAGAACAGATTGATTCCATGTGAAAAGATACTAGTTCTCATACCACTTGGGTTCTACTTACAGATTTCTCAGACCTCTAGTTAAAAAAGTCCAACATGCAAGAAAAATTTATAACTTGTCTTCATTTTTATTTATTCTACACATTTTATTCTCCTAAATAATATAATTGGTTAGTTTTGCACAATCAAGGTAGTTATTTAAGACTAGAACACCACATTTAATTTTTATGAGTTATAGATTGTTCTTTATTTGTTAGTGTCAAGAGATAATTGATTGTGTTGTGTGCAAAATGAAGGACAGAGAAGAGGAATTTATAGGCAAAAGACCTCAACTGTATTGGTTATAGAAGGCTAAAAGAGACTACACTCCCCCTTTTCCCCCCAAATATAAATGCTTACAGTGATGCTAATTACATGTTACCTGGACAATTTGGGAAATAAAAATTCTAAGATGACTACCAAATGCTAACTAGGTCTCACTTTCTTCCTGATCTTCCTTCTATACCTCTTCATAAGTTTCCTCTTCCCTGTCACTCACACAGTAGGGGAAAGCCATTGTGTTGCAGTATGTGAGAACTACTCCGAGAACTGAAATTTGAGAAGGACACGATTCAGTTCGTGAGTAAAGAGTTGAGGTTACTTGCTTCCACTTAAATATGTTGCACTGTGCCAGCTTGAAGAGGCAGGTAAAATGCATAAATAATAAATCATAGTTTTGTGTTCTAAGCTGTAAGAATGGGCTTAAGAACTGGCTCTCACCTAGACATGGAGATTGAAATGTGAATCTGTGACCAAAATTTAAAAATTGTCAGGCCCTACCCATGTACTAAATTAAACCCCCAAGTTTGGCATAGTATGGTGAAGACAGAAAAAAGGATGAAGCAAAATAGATGTCTTTGTCTCAGAAAAAAGAGGGAATGTTAAGGTCTTATTCAGCATGCGAATAGTCCTGTGGTTTCAGACAGTGGAAAGATTTCTAAAGGCACAAATGGCACTTCAATGCATAATCCCAGTAGTATAGGAATCGTACGTATAAATTCAGTTTAGACTTAGATGTAAAATGCTATCAACTTTCCTCTTGAAAAAGGTCAAAAGGAAAAGGTGAGAGGGACCTTCATGAAACAATAGACCTAACACATGCTGATATGTGCCTGTAATTACCTAATGTTCTGTATGTGGAATAATCCCTAGATAGTAGAGAATAATCCAGAATAAAATCAAAATTAAATAATCTAATTTATACAAAATTAATATTAAAGAGTTACATTGGTCCATTTAACTTTTTAACTGACCTTTTTTGGTACTCCTAGAGTTAAGTGATTTTTTTATGTGCTATTGAGATGAATGTAAAATGTAAAAAATGTTGTCATTGCTTTGTCTCAAAGAATTGCATTTTATTTTCTGTGAGTACTTAACACATTGCTGTTTGCTATTTCTGTAAAAATATCTGTTCTTGCATACTTATGCAGTGTATGTTTAGCCAGTGTGATAGACAGTGACTGGAATTCGAGCTTTGTTCTGGTATCTAAATTTTTGCTTTTGTAGTATCACGTTACATTGTAAAAATTCCTATGCTTGCCACCTTAAGATATTTGGGTTGGAAAAAAAAAAGTACTATGGAAAGGAAATTCAGAGAATCACAGCTAAGAGCAGTTAACTCAGTAAAGCGTTTGACTCCATCCCTACTCTCCTTGACTATCCTTCTCTCTTGTCTAATAACTAACATGATGAGACTTTGCACTTGCAAGTTCTGTGGTGGTAAGGTTGACTGGAATAGGTGCATCATAGTTAACGTATAAAAGTTAAAACAAGTTCAAAAAATTCTGTATTTAATCTTTGTTTATTCACGATTAGTGTCTCTGATGTTTAAAAATGAATGTTTACAGATGTAAACAATAAATTAAAATATTTGTAGACACTGTAGGATGTTGCGTATTAATATTTCTTTCTACTATTATACATTAGAGTGTTACTTACTAGAAATCTATTTGGAATGACAGTTTTTCTTAAAATTAAATTATGTGACCATGGGATGATCAAAAAACAATTTCTGCTTTTCTGTTCTCCAGTAATTTGAAATATGAATTGCTAGTAATAGCTTTCAGAAGTATTAGTTTTAGCACACCACAATAAAAAAAAAACCTGGTGGACTGCAGCACAATAGGGAGAAATTCTTTGTGACTATTACAGAATTCAAGAATCAGAATAACTACGTCAGGTCTGATCAGACCATTGTAGCTACATGTTTCTGTAAAGAGTTTTACTCTTCAGAGGTTTTGCTTTTGTGCCTGTAGTGTCAACTGTTATGTTACTAAAGTTAGGTTTGTGAAGTCCAAGGTGATTGAATAATTATTTACTGCTTTTTCCCTCTTGTTCTTTTTTCTTATTTACCGTATTTCTTTTTGCGGTATCATCACCTACCCAAGTGGATCAAGTGTAATGTACAAAGTATAAAGATACGTGTGTCTGTATTTCTGTGCATGATTATCATGGTGGTTGATGCAAATTGGGGAATTATTTACCCAGTTTCCTGTGTGCACACAAAGTCGAAGTTTGCTTGCAAGATGGGGCTGGTGGTATTTTTGTTCCCTTCCTCCTTCTCCACATGCCTCTTTCAGTGCTCTTTTTTATTATCTGAAGAATTGTTTATTGATGAAATTGCTAAATTATGCATGATTCTACGGCCTTTTCCTTTTTTTGGCCTCCTTATGAATTACCTGCTGATGAGTTGTGAGATAGTGGTACCCTCATCATGTATGGTGCGTCATCAAACTTAAATCAGACTGAAGAGAGGTCAAACCTATCCCTTGAATCCTTTTCTTGTGATATTCACTGTAGATTTTCTTTAATTTAACCTCCTTTGAATGTCAAACAGAAATGGACACTTAAAAGATTTTTATCTTCACATTTAAAAACTGAAACCAGATGCAATCAGTTATGACTCAGTATTGGTAGAGTAACTTGACTTAAATAGTATAGGCTATTGTAATGTCTCTTCTACTTGTAATTTTTTTTAGTCTGCATGGTGTAGATCTATTTTTTTAATCCTTAAAAATTGAATATTTATTAATTCTATGGTTAGCTGCATGGAGCTAAATTTTTAGAACTTTTCATCTATTACACAATGCTTAGGAAATGGCTGGTGTCCCATTGTATGTCCAATTTCGTCATTTAGCATCACTCTTATTCACAATTCAGGGACCACGTTAGATGCTTTTTAAAGAAAACTGGAAGTTGGTGGAGAATTTATTTGCACAACAGAACATGAAAATTTCAAGTTGCATGATAAAAACTTACTTTTTTGAAAAATAGATTATCAGGTCCTTTTTTTCTTCAAACCTTTCTTTTAAATTTCCTTTCTGACCTAAAAGAAATTTTATAGGTTATAAAGGTTTCTAAAAGTAGGTGGAAATATTTTGTATAATAGCACTTTTCATGTCTTTTTTTTTTTTAAATAGATTAATAGAGTCATTAGTGACTCTAAGAATCACTGTTCCACTAACAAATTGCAATTGCACTTTGCAGGCTGAACAGTAGCACTTGAACTTCCCTGTTGGTAGGGACTACAGTAGATTGTGACATTCTGAATTTTGCCCAACCCAATATGGGACAGTTGTTAAACTGTGAGGTTACTTCCATTGCTAGGAATAGATCCAGTAAATTTTCATACTGGGGATTATCAAGGTGATTTTGCTTTCCAAATGCAGTTTAAGAGAAGCTCTTGTCCCTTGCTACGTGATGGTATTAGTTCTTTTTGGATTTAAAATCTGATAATCTGAGCTTCATTTTTTCTGCATTTATTTCATTTCCTTCTGTTTTTCTAGAAAATTCTTTTGATAGACTGTAGTTAAAAAAACCCCAGTCTTATTAAGGAACCTCAGTTGCATTCAACTGAGGGAGTTTTTTCCTCACTCTTTACAATACTGATAATACATGCATTACTGGGAAACAGGTAATACTCTGATTAATAGAGAATGCAGTAGATGACTTGTTATAAAAAAAAAAAAGGACCAAAGCAAATATTTCTATTTGAAGCCCAATAAGGGAATAAGAGGTTATGAATAATCTTTCACAGACTAGTAAGTTACATACATAAATCTATCAATTGAATGTTAAAGCATTTTCTTTCAATATTTTATAATTTAGACTGTTTGGGTGGGATACACCACCAAAACGATGATGAAGCGGATCTTTTGTTACCTCCATTGAAAAACAAAGGAAAGTGGTACTTTTTGAAACAAAGTGGGAAACTAGTTTATTTATGTTTGGGGAAGTTGTTTTGTTTTTGCAGTTGTTTTGCAGCAGACCTTTGCCTAAAGTTATTGATCAGGCCTTAGTTTTTATCAGACTAATTTATTTACGCCTCAAGTCAGAAAAACATTTGCATAGCAGTAGTATATCTCTAGTTTAATAATCTAGTCTGAGAGAGAATGTGGCAATCAGTGGCAGCGAGATGGGTAGCCTGTGAGAGAAAAGTAAGGGGCTCAAATTTTGCAGTTTATTTCACAAATTGTAAATGACAAATGTCATTGATTTCCCCACGTCTTCAAGATCTCCACCTTTGTAAAATAAGTAGATAAAATTTCCTTTAATCTTTTTAAAATGATTGCTGAAAAATATTTAGGTTCACCCTGGAGTTAGCATGAACAAGATGTACATAGCTGTTTGTAGCTTACAGAGAAGGACAATAACAAAGAAAATTGACATTAAAGTGACCAACCGAAAACTTCTATGGCAGTAAATAAAACAGAACAAAAGCAAACCAGAAAGTTGTGTTCTCAGCTGAACTCCAGTGTCAGCTGCTCTTCTGAGTTTCAGATAGTTTGGGTGGGGTTGTTTTTAATTGAGAAACAGGGCTTTGGGGCAGGATACCTGACAAAAAAATACAAGTCCTTCCCAACTGGCCTCATATACCAGAAATACAGTCAATTCAGAAAATAAATTTGTAGCTGGTGCTGAAGGCTGTATGGCTGAGATAGCAGATTGACAAGATTGCTGCACAAGGTTGCCGTAACAATGAAAGT